AAATAAGCTGCCTAATTAAGTTTTGGTTGTCTTTTTGGGGGGCACAGTAAATGCAGAAGAACCATACAATGAAATTGCAGTCATTTTTCTCCTTCTGACAAATTCTGCCAGTTCTCTTTCTGCCAGCCATGCTGTTTTTTTTTTCTTTTGCATAGGAGGAAACATCACAGGGGTTTTTTTGATCCTAAGTAAAAGAGTAAAAACTTCAGATTCATTGGGGTACAGTGACCTGTAAATCAACTTCATTAATTTGCAAGTGCAAGAATTACACTTATGATTTCTGCAAGGTATTTTCCTTTTTGTAATCACAAAACTATTTTGAAAATGTATTTTTTCCCTCCCTGACTCTGCAGGGGACAGCTAGAGTTGTTGAAACATACCATTCCTTTTTACACCACTGGATTCACCTAAAAAGTAAGTTTTTATCTCTTTGGTTTAGGTCAGTTACCACACTGGAGGGATGTGTTTTGCTATGTCAAGGTCAGTATTCCAACAGCAGGTGCATTGAGCTGTCAGCAGCAGGAAAATCTGTGCGGTATTTCAAAAGTGAACAGAAAAGCATTAAGAAATAACTGGGACAGAACTGGAAGACTCAAAAATACTCTAAGATGAGGAAAAAGGTAAGAGACAGAGAAATCATAACTATTTGAAGTATTTACTACTGCACAAATTTTTGGTGAAGTCAAATCAATATGTACATGGGTGTAGTAGCTACTTCTCTGCTGGAAGTTTCAGATGTAAAGCGCATGCAAAAGTGATTTTCAGAATACAGTTTACTACTTTTGAAAGTGTTTTTCTAGTCACTGTTAAGTAGTGTTTAGGGACTGATACTCTCTTAAAAACAAACAGACCAAAGGATTTTTTTTCTTTTTTCTTCATTTTGGAAAGAATGCATTAGGAATAACAAATAACAGTAGTTGTTATTATTATTATTATCATTATTATTGTTATTATTATATTATAATGTCAGCCTTTTGCAATATAGTTAAGTATTTGTAAACCAGACATTAAAAATAAACAAAAAAACAATGTCCTGTACCTTCTGCAATTCATCAAAAATATAAGATAGAGTCCTGGGAACGATGCCTCGATCACTGTAACGTTCTGCTCCTCCTGTGATGGTAAAAGTTTTGCCGCTACCTGTCTGACCATATGCAAAGATAGTACCATTATATCCTGCCAACACACTATAGAATAAAAAAAAATGGGGAGAGAATTAATATATAAGGCATATTTTCCATGATCAACTTTATACAGAGCCAAAATGTAATTAACATGAATTCTTAATTACATTGCAGCTGTCTTCAGTAATACAAGGATACACTTCAAGACATGCATTCTAGATTCAATGGAATTTAAACATCTAGAACCGAAGGACTTTTTGAAGTCTCGACTTACTACAATATTCAATATCATCATTAGTTAATCATATTTATTACTATTTACATTACCTTTGTATACTTTTTCTTTGGCTGATTTTTTTTTTTGCCAGGATGATATTTAGTCTTTTAAAAGACTGTAGATGTCAAGAATTGCAACCAATAATACATTACACCTAAAAAATCTAGAAGTATTTCACATTTGACTGCGTTAATTGCAACCACAAAAGACTGTATCGTGGTTAGAAACTCATGTAAGTATACAGTTATACTAGTGGTCTTTTTTTATTCCAAGAATACTACTACAGTAAACTACCAAAGTACTCCTAGCTTGGATAAGGGTATGCAGGAGAAACTGTGCTTATATCAGTGTAGTAAAATTTTAATTTACTATTAAAACAGACAAAACCACATTGGGAAAAGCAAACTTTCTGTTAGAATTGTGTCTGTACAAGAAGCTGCTGCGGAACAGCAATAGTAGCTATGCAATGGTGGAGCTTGAAATGACACTCAGACTCAATAATCTTTTTCACATCTCTTACTTTTTCTTGCAGAAGTGCCCAACAAGAGTCTAATTTCTCTAATTGCTTTTAATGCAATGAACAAAAAGCAGTCTCCTAAATCATGGTGATCTAAATTCCACTCCTGATAAGTCAGTACAAGTTGAAGGAACTATTTTCACACACAAATATAGCAGTTTTTTTCTTATTAACACATGGCAAAATTTCTTGCACTATTTGTGGAGACAGAGTCATATTATTTTCGAATGAGACCCCTTTGATGGTCTGGCATCTGAAATATAAATACAACATTTCATTTTTCCCTTGACAATAAAAGTAAAATTTCGGGTATCCACTGTTTAAAATTTCTATTGATACTCACTGTTGACTATCACGTATTTCCTTTGTACAGCTCTGTCTCAAAAGACAAAAATACTAAAAATCTATTTCCAGATTTCTAATTCCATTTCTTATTAACCATTATGAACTGCCCTGAACTTGAAGAATATTTTAAGGGCTCTAAGATTTTATGCTTCACACTGGCCGGCCATAAACAATGATGTAAAAATGATGGAGGATACAATTATTTTAAATTTTCACTTGTCTGTACAAGCAAACAACAACTGAATAAAATGATCAAAAACTATTAGAGTCTCTAATTAAATAATGATTAAATCAGTTACTGACTGTAATATTCAGATGGCAAATCAAACCAGAACTCGTAAGAGTCTATAGTTGACAGGATACATAATAAAGAAATCAGATTAGACTGTCAAGCTTTTTTCTTTCCTTTCAACAGCTGTCAATTACAAAAAGTTTCTTGGATCCATCCATCAAAATTGTTCTACCACAATTCCAACATATCCTGACAAAATATATGAAGTGAGTATTTGAAAACAAATAAAGTTATCAAGAAAAAATTATTTTTGTGATATAACTTATCAGAAGCAAAATGTACTTAGATTTAATTTACTATGCTTAAGAACCTACTAGTTTTGCTCAAGAAAAAGAAAAGCTAAAATTACTCTTGTGCATTTTGTTTATTGAAAAAGTGATAAATAAGCTAAGATTGTAAAAAATAAAAAGGGAGCAAACAGCTCTTGCATAAGAGGAAAAGAACAATGTATAGATAGCTGTTGGTCTGGCGCCACAAGAGATGCAGTGGTTCTCCAACTTATTAAAGTTTATTTAAAGGCCTGAGCAGTTGCCAAATTGCATATTTTAATCCATTACAGTAGGATGTCAGAGACAGAACCAGAAACATGTTGAAAGGAACTACAGTGAACATCTGCTCCCAAAGACCAAAACGCCCAGAGACAGAGTGTACACAGATTTTAGATTCCAGATGTTAAAAATCAAAACAATTATTATTATAAAACACCTCATGTATCTATCCTAGGAATTTCTAGTGCCCGCTGTCACAGTATCTGAACGCTGAAGCTGGTAATGAGCTGTCAGAAGGTAGGGGTTATTGAAAGAAGCTCTGAGATGGCAGGTTCAAAACAAGCAAGGGGAAACAATTCTTCATGCAAAATGTAGTTAAGCTGTGAAACTCCTTGCAATGGGATGTTTTGGATGCTAAGAGTTCACACAGGCTTCAGTGGAGACTGGACTAATTAATGGAAAAAAAAAAACCCCAAAACCTCTCTTAGGGCTACTAAACACAGAAAAATCTTAGAATCATAGAATCATGAAGGTTGGAAAAGACCTCAAGGATCATCAAGTCCAACCATCAACCCAGCCCCACCCAACCCACTAACCCATGTCCCCCAGCACCACATCTACACGTTTCTTGACCCCCTCCAGGGATGGTGACTCCACCACTGCCCTGGGCAGCCTGTTCCAATGCCTCATCACTCTTGCAGTGAAGAATTTTTTCTAATATTCCTCTATGCTTAAGATCCTACTAATTTTGCTCAAGAAAAATAAAAGCTAAAATTACTCTTGTGCATTCTGTTTATTGAAAAAGTGATAAATAAATGGAGTTTTTAAAAAATACAAAAGGAAGTAGCTCTACATGCTTATACTGCTTTGGTTTTTGCTTTTTTTACCCCCCTGAGCAATGACTGGCAGCCCCTGTGAGAGATAGCATGCTGGACTAGATGGAACTTTGGTCTGACCGAATGCAGTTGCTCTTCTGTTTTTATATTTCTGCCCTTTGGTTCTTCCTAGACCTATCATTTTGGGCTGGTAAGTTTTCTTACTCCTCCTCTTTAAAGTTGTTCAAGGTACATATATTTTCAGCTACAGTGCCACGGCTCCTGCAGAAAGGTGAGGTTTGCGATGTGTCTAAACAAGTGGTAAAGGGTATGGCTGCAAACTATTAACTTTAGAAAAAGCTGTTGATTAGTGTCACCAGACCTGTAAGATGAAATGTCACAGACCATACGCTGTCAAAGGTACAAAAGTCAATGAGTTTTCTTGGTGTTATTTGATTCATATATTTCTTATATTTATTGCAATGTAATTATAAGTAATATTAATATTTATAGTGCTGCCATGCTAAATGCTGGTTATGATTCCACAGCTGAGTTCCACTTTAAAAACCAAGATGAAAGTCAAACTTCTTTTTTATATATGTATGTATAACTATATATATAATTGCATCCTGTCTGTATTTACAGCACTCATTTCTTTCACTCAGAGTATATTAAAACTAACAACCAACCCAATTTAAGAGAAGCCTGCTTGAGGTGCTAAAGCACAGCCCCATGAAGATAGAATGGAGAATAAATTTCCTTTCTAAATTTCAGAAGAAAACCACCTTTATAAAAGACAAGGCACTAGAACTTAAAGCAGGACTGATGGAGTTCCTTTGGGTTAGAAGCAAGCTGAAGACTATAACCTCACCTCCCGAAAAGAGTGAATGGGAAGATACACTGGAAAGCCTCTACTGTAACAGCTTGTTCACAAATAATTAAACTTATGAACTAAACAGAACTAAAGCTTACATGTACGTATATATGTTTATGAAAGAACACATTTCAAAACTGAAGACGTAACCACCAATCTGGGCATAATATTCTGAATATTACTCAATGTCAGTTTTGAAGGTCTGTATGTGATAAAGTCTACATGGATTAAGTCATATAAAATCCATGCCTGATGTTACTAATTCACACTTCTTTTAAGGAATTTCTCTTGGAATCAGTGGGAATACAGGATGTTTTAGCAATGAGATTTGTGGAGAAACTATTATCATAGCAAATACTTGCTAAAGATATATTTTACTCTTTTTCCACTTCCAAGAACTTCAAGTAAAAAATAAATACCAAACTTTATCGATCGAATTTTAGTTCATTGTCCCAAGGAGTTTTACACTGAAGTGGTAGCAACACATGTAGGTGGACCAATATATAATCAGTCAATAAATTAAACCAATACATATTTACTAAATACTCAAGAAGTTTAAGATATATACTTAGTGTTTTCAACCCAAGATGCACAATCCCTTTAAAAAAATCCTCATAACCCTTTAGCCACCCATAAAATGTTATTTAAAAACAACAACAAAACTACACTGCAGAATTACACTTGCCTAAGTGAAGGGTCTCTCAGATGCTAAGAGTTAGTATGGTGAGTAGAAAATATACACATTCTCTCTCTGATTGCAAAATCTAATTACAACAGGTACCTTGTCAACACCAATTAGAGAGGACAAGAGAGTGTATTTTCTAAACAGTGTCCACCAAAAAGATCCTTGAAGATTCTCATCTGCAAATTAAAGCTGTCCCTAACAGCAGAGGAACCGATTCTCTGCTGGGAAAGGCAGAAGAGAACCAGCAGCTCTTTTCTGCCAATTCTGTAAAAATCTACTTTGCAAGATGTCAGTTCACCCAGGCAAAGTCTGCATCTTTGCTCTTCAGATTATCTGAACAAAAATCCCAAACCTGTGTCAAACTTAGTTTTTGAAAGTACACAGGTTGACACGGTTACTGATGGTAGTCTTACGAAGATTTCAAAATACGCATATATAAAAATTATACACTAAAAGGATACTTTCAGTCATGCCCCCTTGGTGCTATCAGAATATCCAGAACTTTTCTTTCTTTTTTCTCCCAGGAAACGGAGTTTTGGCATGGTTAAGGAGACACTTTGTTGAATAAATTGTCTCTTTACTACTTCAAACAAAACACATCAAAGACACATAATCCAAGGAGAGGCTTTGCTGAAAAGATCTTTCATGAACCTATCCAATGTTGTATAGCTCCCTGTTCATAAGTTCATGGACTACTTCCAGACAGATTAGCTAAACTGTTGCTGAAGAAATCTGTCTCCGGTATATTTTAGCAAAGTTACTCCTCTTAT